TGTATTTTGGTCTGTATTTTGATCAGGTAGTCATTACGTAAGTGTGTATATTCATCAAAGACAACATACTCCACTCTTTGAAATATGTTTATTTCATTGTATGCAACTATTGATTGAACAAAAATATTATTTACAAACAGAGGTATTCTTATACCTCTGCTTAAAAACATTTAATGGCCTCTTGTTGGTTTTAGAAGAATGTCTGCAATACCAAATTACAACTCAAAGGACCTGCATAGAATGGCTCCAAAATCCCTCTGTGGCCTAATGTCAAACTATTCTTTCCTTTCCTCGTAATGACCAGCCAAAATGACTTTTAGTTGTATCATGCACTTCTCCTAAAAACACTTGGTCCTAAAAACACTTCTCCCAATACCACTTACCTATTTTCTACTTATTGTTTAAATCTCTTTTCAATGGTAGTCCTCTGGGAAACTTTTCCTGACTTCTAAGTAAAGTTCCCTTGATGTATGTTATTTTAGCATCAAAAACAGCTCATTATTATTGTAATTAAACAATTATTTGTTGAATATTTGCTTTATCTGTTAGACTTTCAGCCCAGCTAGAACAGAGACCACACATTTTCTTCATTCATTTATTACAGGGTAATGAATGAAAACAATCTTATTTTTAAAAATATATTCAACAATATATTTCCACAGCAAAGATTCTGGTCCACGGTAAAGGCTCAACAAATATATTACAAGAAATGATGGTACTGACAAAATGTTTGACAATGTGTTCTGAGTCCTGACTAATAAAAAACAAACAAACATGGGATCAGGAAGCTGAGGACAAAGCTGCTCTCTGTAACCACTAGTGAGATAAGGGTTAATGAATAGAAATTGTTGAAATCAAATGCCTAGAAATGATTCATGAGAGAATTTCCTGGGAAACTGGTTACATTAATTCTCGGAAATCAGAATTGCAAACCGGTTGGTAGGCAGATGACCAGTAGCTTCTAAGATTATAACTGCGTGGGCAGCAGTTGCTTGGGAACTAAACTCCTGGGTTCAAAATGCATAGTGCAAGCATCTGTCAAAGTATGCCGCAGGAGGAAGCTGCAAGAATGGAGGCAACTAGATGTAATCCGAATAAGTGCCAGCTGGTCTCCTGTTAATTGTGTAGAATGGGATCAACTTGGTGAAAATCAGAAGACGGCAATTCACTGTATTATATGCAGTTGCTGAAATAGAAAAAAAAAAAAGCTGCATTCTGGTAAATTTAGAGTGTTGCTTGGGAATTGGAATGGTAGAGGGTGGACGTTTCCTGAGTGGTAATGACATGATATCAACTCAGGAGTTATGAGTTTCTCATGCTAAAATAATAAAGCTTTCTTGTCTTGACTATCAGCTAGAAATGGCGCATTGTATATTACAGCAGGGACAATTGTGGTATAAGTTCATGTGCGACCCCGGCTGTGGGACCCCGACCCACGGAGGCAGGCGTGCAATAGACTCGAGGCAGGACGCATGGTGACCGGTACCGACTTTATTGGGATTTCTGGGCGACTCAAGCGGGGAGGGAGGAATCGCGCGCGCTTTCTTTGTTCGGTCGACTTTATAGGGACAAAGGGCCTGCGGCGGTGGGAGAGCTGACCTGGCAGGTAGTAATTGGCTAGGTTGGTTGCTGGGCAGGAAGCCTGCCGGGCGGGAGCTTGTGGGACGGGAGGTTACGGGAGAGCTGGTGGGGCGGATGGTGATTGGTTCAGTGGGCCGCTGGGCGGGAAGGTTGCTGGTCTTGGGCCGGGCCAGGATAGAGTGAGATAAGGGACCCTCCCTGTGGGGGAGGAAGGGCCTTCCTTATCGGGAATTAGGCCCTTTCCACATGGCTGGGGAACGGGGCCAAAAGTCCTCTACCAGACAGTTCAAAGTCCCCATAGCGAGTTTCACCATTTGTTTGCAAGCACTTTATTATACTGCTCTTTGTGATCGATCTATCTTTGAGTTATTTTTTAAATCTTCATGTTTACTAGTTTTGATAGGCAGAATAATGGCTCCTAAAAGACGCTCAAGTTCTAAATTCTGGAATTTGTGAAAATGTTCCTTCACATGGCAAAGAGGAATTAAAGTTACCCATGAAATTAAGCTGGCTACTCAGATGACCTTAAAATAGAGAATCTTGGATTACCCAGGTGGACCCAATGTAATTAAAAGTACAAAGTGGGAGGTAAAGGCAGAAAAGTAGGTCTAAGTGATGCACTGTGAGAATGATTGGACTCACCACCACTGCTGTCTTTGGAGACAGAGGAATGGGGCCATGAACTAAGAAATGTAGGTGGTATCTAGAATATCCATCTCCAAAATTTTTGGTACCAGGGATAGGTTTTCTAAAAGAATTTTTCCACAGATTGGAGGAGGGGAGAGGAATGGTTTCAGGATGATTCCAGCATGTAACATTTATTGTGAACTTTATTTCTATTATTATTAAGTTGTAATATATAATGGAATAACAATACAACTCACCATAATGTAGAATCAGTAGGAGACCCGGGCTTGGGTTTGTTTTTCTGCAACTAGATGGTCCCATCTCAGAAGATGGAAGACAAATCATCAGGCATTAGATTCTCATAAGGAACATGCAACCTAGATCTCTCGTGTGTGCTGTTCACAACAGGGTTTGTGCTTCGATAAGAATCCAATGCTGCAACTGATCTGACAGAAGGTGGAGCTCAGGCAGTAATGATTGCCTAACCACCAATCGCCTCCTGCTGTGCTGTCTGGTTCCTAACAGGCCATGGATCAGTACCAATTTGTGGCCCAGAGGTTCAGGACCCCTGCTCTAGAATCTGTAAAAAACAAGGAAATAGATTCTCCCTTACAACCTCTGGAAAGAAACGCAATGCTGATAATACTTTTATTTTAGCCCAGTGAGGCCATCAGATTCATCAGATTTTGACCTATAGAATTAAAGGATAATAAACTTGTATTGCCTAAAACTCTAATCTAATTTGGTATGGTAGTAGTAGGAAACCAAGATTAGAGTGTATTCCTGAAAGCTAGAAAATGATTCTTGCATCTGCAATTTGGAGACAATAGCAGAGGAGACCTCAGCCTGGCCAAGAAGCTATAGCTGCTCCTCATTAAACCCTTGCCATTGCCTATGTTTTGAGGGAATAGGCTTGATCATTACTCCTGGGTAAATATTATGAGCATGGGAGTAACTAGGATCATTAAAATTAAAAAATCAATGATGTCATATAAAAGACTGAGTTTATAGCGGATTTTACAATTTATCATTTTAATTTTTGTAACTCAATCACTGATAATTTTCCCACACATTTTAAAATAGTTCCTTATTTCTTTCCTCTACCTATATAAGGACCATGACTATTTCCTAAACATGATGGAGGAGAAGGAGAAGGGAGAAGAAGAAGACGAAAACTGGGAGCAAATGAGGAAAGTGAGGAGATGAGAGAAAATGTCACAGCTGGATAGATCCAATAAAAATTTTAGATCTAATAAAATAAACTGGATGAAATAAAGTAGTTCTACTCACAGTTCTACAATAACTTGCTGAGCAACATTTAAAAATTCTATCTAACTCTACTGTTTCAATTTCCGCCTCTGTAGAATAAGGATGCTGAATTCTATGAACTCTATAGCTCCTTTTATATTTCATATTTTATTGTATGAGCAGTAAAAGAGGACGTAAAGAGAACATGATGAGGTAACTGTGATATACGTATAAGACTTTTTGCCAAGTGTCTAATACTCTGCATTCTATTTCTAATTTCAGAGAATGTTCTAAGACCTTATAAAATAAAGGACACAAAAATATTTGAACATTGCTTGTTTTACGTAAATATTATGTCCCCCTTTACTATCATATTGTCTTAGTGTCTTACTTTTTATAACACTTGGATGGAAGAGAGCAGAACAGTATAAGTACAGCCTATCCAATTTTATTAAAAGATACAAACAAAACAATCTTTCTTGATGACAGTAAAAGCTTTGGAGTTTTCAATTAGATTCAGTTTATATGTTGGCAAACAACCCAGGTACTACTAACACCTTCTAGGTCTGCTGCCTTCCTGTTGAAGTTTTCTTGCCTGCCTTTGTAAACAAATGGAGATCATTTGAGGAAATTGAAAATAGTAATTGGGGTACTGGGATTTAGCTAATTAAAAAGAAGTGACACTCCTGCACTGTCACTACCTGAAGCTCATAGGTGCTCTTTTTTAAACATTTACACCCATGTGTTAGTCTTCCATTTTAATATACTTCATGAACAGGCCTAGTCATATAAACAAAATTTTTTTCCAAGTGTATACTTCAAACTTTTCTGTTACATTCTCTTCTTAGCAATACATGGCATATTCATGGAGTGAACAAGAATATTCAATGCTCTTTATGCTCTCTTAGTAACTTACTTTTTATAACACTTTGAGGTTAGAGAGCAGAACAATATAAATACAGCCTATTCAATTTTATTTCAAGATACAATATAATCATTTTTGATGATGGTAAAGGCTATCATAAAAAAGGATAGCAAAGGCTGTCTTAACTATCCTAACAAGAATACTTAAGAGAAAGGCTACCCTTGGAAATGCTGAGAATCCAGGAATCTCCTGCTTAAAGAGGAGGAAACTAAAGCCAACCAAAATTAGAGTAGAGACCCCATAATCTGGGCAATGCAAAGCCCATTACCAGAAGCAATGGCAATGCACATCCTAGTCAATGCTTTGCTAATTAATAACAATATTTAATGGCACATTTGGATAGAAGAATGAAGAGTTTATTAAAATAAAATCATTTCACTTCCTATCACTTTTGGAAAGAAATGCAAAAAGTATGCTTTGTATCTATAATGCAGTTTGGATCATTCATTGATGCTGTAGTTTGACAGAACTAACAAAAAAGGCCAGTTTTTGAAGGCTGGAAAGTAAAGCAGGCCAGGTGATAAATAATATTAGAATACTTCTCAAAGGAGGAAATTAATAGATGACGTTTCTACAGAATATGTATTTCTCAAATGAGTTTGACCAGTCAACACATTAGTCAGTAGAAACCAGAATGGCTGTCAACAGGTGAATGGAACCACCTCCTAGACAGAAAATAAATTGGGTGGCAGAATCTGGATCCATTAACTCTGGGAAGGGAAGGCATGGATTCTATAATTCAGAGTTCTGAATCCATTGGATCCATAGCTCAGTTAAGAGCATCTCCTGGATCCATAGCTCAGGGAACAGCAGCTATTGGATCCAAAACCCAGAGACCCAGACTGCACAGTCGAGCAAGAATTGCAGAGCATGGGGGTCCTGAGGTAGCAGCAGAAGGTGTGGCAGGGGCTGGACTTCACACATGAAGTCTGGCAACTGGAGGGCTCCCAGCAGGTCTCCTGACATGCTCTGTCAGGAACCCAGCTGAGAGGTCCTGGGAGAGCAGAGGTCAGTGCTATTGACCAGGTTTCTGGGGTAGGGAGAGCCACTGGAGGAGCCTGGGTAGCACAGGTAGCCCCCACAGGAGTGGGAGGAGAAGTTTCTAGAACAGCAGTTGAAGGACATGTTGACAGGAGACATGAGTGCAGCTGAGTGTACCGAAGAAGATTCTGAGTTTTAATGTCGCGTCCTGGACAGGACCATCCATCTATAGCCTCTTAGCAACAGGTGTGGTGCACAACAGAGTCATCCTTTACATTTTTGTGCTCCCTCATTTACGTAGGTGTAACTCAGCATTCTTGTCTGTAATTGCATTTGAATAGTTTTCCACATATTGTATTTATGGGTGCCATAATTTTGGTGTTGTAGCAGAAAGCCAATGAACTACACTTATGTCAGAAAATGCTATGACTGTTCCACATTAATGCTTATTTTATTATGTCTAGCAAAGTACCTCCTTTTCCTCCTAGCATAATTTTCATGTGTCTTGTTATTGACTGTTCCAGACAAATACTTGTCGTGAAACACTGAGAAATGAGATAAAGTTACATGTTTTGTTTTGTTTGGTTTGGTCAATAGAGTGTAGACACAACTTTGGCCTTAATTAGAAAGCTGTTTAAAACTAAACCTATTTGTCACCATCCTTTCTCATTCTATAAAATACTTGTTAATCTTTTACATGCTGTTACCCACTGTATCTCACATCCAGTGTAGACAGAAAAGTATAAGCCAAGGCAAATTGAATAACATTGATACCTATGACCGGAAGGAAACCTGGACAATTATTTGGAGACTTGGTGGCAGCAAGGGATGGAACTGAGACAATCAATCACAAGTGAAAACTAATTTGGAGTCTTACAAAGAGAATCAAAGTGGTAAATAAACACCATTGAAATGTGAGAAAAAAATGAATTTTAGATTCAGTGAATCTAATATGAGGCCTGTGGTCCTAACAGATTCTCATTCATTTGTGTAGCAGCCTGGAGAATTCACATGTCTGATCTTAAATTACAGGAGGCTTAAACAGCCAGTGGCCCTACCTGCTGTGTTCTAAAAGTTAACACTGCATTTTTGGGGAAGTCTTGCTTTCTACTGGCCGCTCCCAGGCAAAGACTGAGCACAGTGGAGCTATAGAGATTCCTGGGAGATACCTGACGGCCAGCTTTGACTCAGGGTTTCCTCAGTGGCCTTAAAGAACTACAGTCCCCTGCATATGTCTCAAGCATTTCTTTCTCTTTCTCCTTGACTTGGGTCAGACCTATGTTCAAATCTTACATTTCTCCTAACCTTCTCTCAGGGGAGATTCTGGAAAGAGAAGAAATGCAGAAAGTCTGAAAATACTGAATCTTGTTTATACTTTTTAACAAGTGATACTGTTTCTATTTGTGTCCCTGCCCAAATCTCAGGCAATTGTAATCCCCAGTGTTGGGAAAGGCCTGGCAGGAGGTGATTGATCATGGGAGTGGATTTCCTCCTTGCTGTCCTTGTGATGGTGAGTTTTCATGAGAAATGTGTAGCGCTTCCCCCTTCGTGCTTGTCCTTCTGCTCCAGCCATGTAGGACTGCCTGCTTCCCCTTCCTTTTCTGCTGTGATTGTAAGTTTCCTGAGGCCTCTCAGCCATGCTTCCTGTACAGCCTGAAGAACTGTGAGTCAATTAAACCTCTTTTCTTTATAAATTAAACAGTCACAGGTAGTTCTTTATAGAAATGTGAAAATGGACTAATACAAGAAGTAAATCAATGTTTTGATGGATAGCAAAGAATTTAAACTGGAAATTTTATCTTGAGTATGCCAATCAGGGTAAACAAAAAAAAAATACTCAGTTGTTCAATGATTTAGAGAAATAATAAAACTTTTGAGTTTGGTTTTGGAGCTTATGTTCAAACTGTCTCCAGGTAATGTCTGCTAAAACCCATTTTTTCAGACATCTTCTCCTTAGACTAGATCCACACCGTTCTCCTCACTATTATTTTACATGTAAGTTCCTGTCTTTCATCAACATTGGTATATTCCAAACTGTACTCTCTTCAAATATTGTTTCTGCCCTATTCTCTCCTCTTTCTTTTGCTTAGATTCCAATTGTAAGCAAGGTACACTTTTTAACTACATTACAGGTGACTCATACTCTTTTTTCTATTTTTGATCTTTATATAGAAGTATTGGTTTTTGTTTATTGAGGTTATAACCTGGAAGGTTAGCGAAAGCAAGATTTTCCAGCATGTTAGTGACAAGTTGATTGGTAATTTCGAAAAGAGAAGCAAGTAGGTGCCAAAAGTTGTAATTTTCAACTGTGGATGAGATTCTGTTGAAAACACATCTCAAGTATCTGAAACTATTATTCACAGTCCAGTGAAGAGAATCTTCTGTCAGAAGATCAGAAGCTTTCTGATGTATATCCCTGAGTCACATATTTTATGTGAAATATCCCAATTTTTAATTGTTGATAAACAACACCACAAATGACGAGGCGCCATATTAAACAGAACAAACAATAAAACCTCCAAGATTAAGTGAGGGCAAAATGGGGGCATTTACAAGTTCTTCTTAAACTTCTGTCAAATTAATGTGGACAAAGTTTTAGGGATTTAGAGGCAAAGAGAAGGGAAGGACACCTCTTTACACATTAACTGGTTCAGAGAAGGATTTTTTAATAAGGAGGTTGGATTAACTGAAGCAAATTCTCTAAATCCTCCAGTTTCACCTGAAGAAATTGATGCTCCCCATTTAACTCATAAGTTTTTTATTCAAGATTATTTTAAAGAGTTATGTTTGAAATGAAAGAAAATGTGGAAGGAATAGTTTCCAAACCTACTTACTAAGGCACAAGATAAGGGGAAATCAACTGCTGTTGAGAAACAGAAAATAACTCACTGAAAAGATATTTGAATTGGGCATATTTGCTTCTTCATTCTTCTTCCTTCTAGAAGGTCTGTATTAAGTTACTTTTTAATATTGCTATATATTTTAATTGAGAAAATTTAATCAAGAAAATTTCTAACATTGTTGTAAGTTTATTATATTTTATTATAAAATAAAATATTGCCATCAGCCATGACAGTACACTTTCTTTTGTCCTGAATATAATTTAACTACTTGTATTTCAACATAGAATATTTTGTGAATGAACTTACAAAGTGGCCATCCTCAGAGAATGTGACAAAGCTGTCAAATTTTTATTTTTCAACATGGAATCTAGAATTCAGCAGAGGCAAACAAACAAATGAACAAAACATAAAATATAGCAAGTAAAAAAAGAAAGAAAAAACAAAAGATAAAATCAAACTTAAGCATAGATACAAAAGGAAGAAAAATAGAGGGAAAGAGAACCAGAGGAAGACAGATAGAGAGGTAAGAGAGAAACATTCATATACGTGCAGAGGAAAGAGGACTGGGGAGAAAAGAAATTTCACATTTTTGCAGGAAAATGTAGGATGGCACCTGGTTGTACAAGTGGCAAAAAGTCATTGAAAACCAGTAGTATGAAAAGCTAGAGACATTCTAAGAGGGTAAAGGCCTGGATAATTACAAAGATAGATGATAAATATATCAAAATTAGCATATATATAAGATATGCTAATTTTGAAAATTTTTGCTCATAAAGACGTTGGAACAAGAGACATGACAGCTTGAATGCAATAGGAAAATATTCCGAAATTCCTGAGCTTTCTCATTGTTTCTCCTTCAATTGTTTCCTTCCTTCGGCAGACAAGCTTTTGGCTCTTTGGCTGAAAAGAGATGACCTCAAATTGATTTTCTCTGTGACTGTGTCTCAGTCAAGCTTCTTCTTTTTTTTTTTTTTTTTTTTTTTTTTTTCTTTTCTTTAAATACATGGCAAGGTTTCTTTCAGTTTCTAGCCATTTCTTTCAATCTGCTTGCTTTGTCTCTTCTTGATCTTTCCTCACTGGATATGAAACACACTTTATAACTGTAGCACTTGGTGTATTAATTTTCTCTTACTGACCTAACAAATCACTACAAAGTAATTTTGAAGTATAGCAATGAATGGTGACAAGATGGATCATTTCCACAGAGGTTCTTATCCAGGTAGAAACTAATTCATTGCACCAGAAGAAAACTAATGTTATCTCATTCCCCACTCTTAAGAGGAAAACATCCACTAGCAAAGCTAGCTGTGAATACACAGGAAAAGAGGCAGGTAGCATGTGCCAAATTAAAAGGAAGAGCTTTCCTTGTCATGATGAGCTAGGCGTTAACGTAAAACAGTCATAGCATTTCTGACATAAGTGCAGTTCATTTGCTTTCTGCTATAACACCGAAATTATAGCACCCATAAGTACAATATGTGGAAAACTATTCAAATGTAATTACAGACAAGATTACAGGGTAACACATATGTAAATGAGGAAGTACAAATATGTAAAGGATGACCCTGTTGGGCACCACACCTATTGCTGAGAGGATATAAATGTTCTTGTCCAGGATGCGACATTAAAACTCAGAATCTTCTTAGGTACACTTCAGCTGAACTCACATCTCTCATCAGCATGTCCTACAACTGCTGCTCTGGAAACTTCTCTTCCTGCTCCTTTGGCAGCTACCTGCGCTACCCAGGTTCCTATGCCAGCAACCTGGTCTGTAACACTGACCTCTGCTGTCCCAGCACCTGCCAGCTGGGCTCCTCTCTCTACAGGGGTGGTCAGAAGACCTACTGGGAGCCCACCAGGTGCCAGACATCCTGCTATCGCCCCAGGACCTCCATGCTCTGCAGTCCCTGCCATATGACTTGCCCCGGATCTCTGGGCTTTGGGTCCAGCAGCTGCCGCCGCTCCCTGGGCTATGGATCTAGGAGCTGCTACTCACTGGGTCATGGATCCAGTGGCTTCAGATCCCTGAAATATGGAGGCTGTGGTTTTCCGTCCCTGAGTTATGGATCCAGATTCTGCTACCCAAATTACTTGGCTTCTAGAGCCTACCAGTCTTCTTGTTACAGACCAATCTGTGGATCTCGCTTCTATCAATTCACCTGCTAAAATTCTGGATCCTTTTGAGTATTGGGATCAAAGTCTCTACTGAATGCAGCCATAGTATTCATTCTCTCCAATTCCCAGTATCCTTTTCTTCTTTCACCACCAGCTTTTTGAATCACCTACTTCTGGCAGACTATGAAATTAATGAGTAACCTAATATTAAGTTTAATGTCTTTACCATTGATTGAATATATGCTATTTGATTATCATCCAAAAACTCTTGAAAATGGAAATTTTAATTTAATAAATTTATGTAATCTTATACCCAAATTTATTTTATTTTTTTTTTTTTATTATTTATTATTATTATTATTCTTACATTTTTGTATTGAATAATTTGGGAGATTTAAGTAAAAATCAATATGGTGGTGTAACTGGATTTGGGGTACATATAATCTGACAGATTTGAGAACATTTCTGTTGAAATTAGGTACGTTATCTATTAAGAATCATCATTTCTTAAAGACCATAGTTTGCATTTGCAGACTTGTCTCAACAGCAATAAGAATAATAATGAAGGACATACATTTCTACTGATATGGAAAAGCAGAAAATCTGATGCATAAATTAGAAATACAGACAACAAGAATAGGATATAATTTATAAGGTAAACTGAATACTTATACTAAAAGTTACTTAAAAGTCTAAAATCTGAATGTGGATTTTCAACCAAAAGAAAAATGAAGCTGAAACAGCTGCTAGCACAGAGGCCTTGCTCTTTGTTCATAGGCATAAGTGCCAGGGTCCCTGCCTCCCACTGGTAAGGAGAGTCAGGATCATTCACCAATGATCTTAAGAGGAAATAACTGGGTTCAGGAGGCTTGGGTAACATACAGATGCTTCTTTTGTTAAAAATTATTATTATACTTTAAGTTCTGGGATAAATGTGCAGAAAGTGCAAGTTTGTTACATAGGTATACACATGTCATGGTGATTTGCTGCACCCATGATCCCATCATCTACATTAGGTATTTCTCTTAATGCTATCCCTCCCCTAGTTCCTCACCCCCCAACAGGCCCCAGTGTGTAATGTTCCCCTCCCTGAGTCCATGTGTTCTCATTGTTCAACTCCTACTTATGAGTGAGAACATGTGGTGTTTGGTTTTCTGTTTCTGTGTTCGTTTGCTGAAAATGATGGTTTCCAGCTGATCATCCATGTTGCTGCAAAGGACATAAACTCATTCTTTTTTATGGCTGCATAGTATTCCATGGTATATATGTGCCACATTTCCCTTATCCAGTTTATCATTGATGGGCATTAGATTGGTTCCAAATCTTTGCTATTATAAATAATGCTGCAATAAACATACGTGTGCATGTGTCTTTATAGTAGAATAATTTATAAACCTTTGGGTATATACCCAGAAACGCAATTACTGGGTCAAATATATTTCTGGTTCTAGATCCTTGAGGAATCACCACACTGTCTTCCACAAAGGTTGAACTAATTTACATTTCCCCCAACAGTGTAAAAGTGTCCCTATTTCCCTACATCCTCTTCAGCATCTGTTGTTTCCTGACTTTTTAATGATTGCCATTCTAACTGGCATGAAATGGTATCTCATTGTGGTTTTGATTTCCATTTCTTTAATGACCAGTGATGATGAGCTTTTTAATATATGTTTCTTGGCTGCATAAATCTCTTCTTTTGAGAAGTGTCTGTTAATCTTTTGCCTACTTTTTGATTTTTTTTTTCCTTGTAAATTTGCTTAAGTTCTTTGTAGATTATGGATATTAGCCCTTTGTCAGATGGGTAGATTGCAAAATTTTCTCCCATTTTGTAGGTTGCCTGTTCACTCTGCTGATAGTTTCTTTTGCTATGCAGAAGCTCTTTAGTTTAATTACATCCCACTTGTCAATTTTGGCTTTTGTTGCCATTGCTTTTGGTGTTTTAGTCATGAAGTCTTTGAACATGCCTATGTCCTGCATGGTATTGCCTAGGTTTTTTTCTAGGATTTTTTATGGTTTAAGGTTTTATGTTTAAGTCTTTAATCCATCTTGAGTTAATTTTTGTATAAGGCGTAAGGAAGGGGTTCAATTTCAGTTTTCTGCCATATGGCTAGCCAGTTTTCCCAACACCATTTATTAAATAGGGAATCCTTTCACCATTGCTTATTTTTGTCAGGTTTGTCAAAGATCAGATGGCTGTAGATGTGTGGTGTTATTTCTGAGGCCTCTGTTCTGTTTTATTGGTGCATATATCTGTTTTGGTACCTGTACCATGCTGTTTTGGTTACCTTAGACTTGTAGTATAGTTTGAAGTCAGGTAGTGTGATGCCTCCAGTTTTGTCCTTTTTGCTTAGGATTGTCTTGGCTATACGAGCTCTTTTTTGGTTCCATATGAAATTTAAAGTAGTTTTTTTTTCTAATTTTGCAAAGAAAGTCAATAATAGCTTGATGGGAATAGCACTGAATCTATAAATTACTTTGGGCAGTGTGGCTATATTGATACTTTCTATAATGAGCATGGGATGTTTTTCCATTTGTTTGTGTCTTCTCTTATTCCTTGAGTAGTGGTTTGTAGTTTTCCTTGAAGAGGTCCTTCAAGTCCATTGTAAGTTGTATTCCTAGCTATTTTATTCACTTTGTAGCAATTGTGAATGATAGTTCATTCATGATTTGGATTCCTGCTGGTCTGTTGTGGGTGTATAGGAATGCTTGTGATTTTTGCACATTAATTTCATATCCTGAGACTTTGCTGAAGTTGCTTATCAGCCTAGGGAGATTTGGGGCTGAGACGATGGGGTTTTCTAAATATACAATCATGTCATCTGTAAACAGAGACAATTTGACTTCTTTTCCTAATTTAACACCCTTTGTTTCTTTCTCTTGCCTGATTTTCCTGCCCAGAACTACCAATACTATGTTGAATAGCAGTGGTGAGAGAGGGCATCCTTGTCTTGTGCTGGTTTTCAAAGGGAATGATTCCAGCTTTTGCCCATTCAGTATGATATTGGCTGTGGGTTTACCATAAATTGCTTTTATTATTTTGAGATATGTTCTATCAATACCTAGTTTATGAGAGTTTTTAACACAAAGGAGTGTTGAATATTTCAAAGGTTTTTTTCTGCCTCTATTGAGATCATCACGTGGTTTTTGTCATTGGTTTTGTTTATGTGATGGATTACGTTTATAGATTTATGTATGTTGAAACAGCCTTGCATCCCAGGAATGAATCAGACTTGATTGTGGTGGATGTGCTTTTTAATGTGCTGCTGAATTCGGTTTGCCAGTATTTTATTGAAGATTTTTGCATCTATGTTTATCAAGGCTATTTGCCTGAAAGTTTTGTGTGTCTGTGTCTCTGCCAGGTTTTGGTATCAGGATGATGCTAGCCTCATTAGGTGAGTTAGGGAGGATTCCCTCTTTTTCTATTGTTTGGAATAGTTTCAGAAGAAATCGTACCAGCTTCTCTTTGTACCTCTGTGGTAAAATTCAGCTGTGAATCCATCCTGTCCATCCCGGCCTTTTTTTCTGTTGTTAGGCTATTAATTACTGCCTCAATTTCAGACCTTGTTATTGGTCTATTCAGGAATTTGAGTTCTTCCTGGTTTAGACTTGGGGGGTGTATATGTCCAGGAATTTATCAATTTCTTCTGGATTTTCTAGTTTATTTGTGTAGTGGAACTCACCAGAGTGAATTCATGGAAATATTCCTGAGTAAAGTAGTATTATAGGAAGCAGAAGTAGCTTACAATGTGTAAAAAATATTAATAAACTTAAGAAAATTTATTTCATATGCTTTGCCATATAAAACAATACAAATTATTACCTAAAAATAAATGAAACAAGGGGTAAAGGTAATACTACAGCAGAAAAATGTGAACATGGTGATTGATGAGATAAGGAAAAGTATTGAATGCCAATACAAGACTATATACAAAGTATTTTAAAATTTTTCAAATTATAGCTTCTACTTTTATTGATAGAATATTGCAGCTTGTTCAGATACAAAGTGAGTTATGTATTTACCGCAGTTAAAAATGTGCATCTTCTCCACAGGATTTCTATTTTCTTTACCATGATGTTCTTTACCAAAATTTGTACTTTTTATCATTATGGATACAACAAATAATTTTATCTTCAATGTTGAACTTTTAAAATAACATTACATTAGCATTATTAAACAGAACATTATAAATTTTTCATAGCTTTACTTGGATTTTTGGGGGCTAGATGAAGAAATCAAAAACATTATTGGAATTAGTTCATTTTCTGTTTGAAGCATTTGATAATTCTAATATAAAACTGAGTTCATTTAATCCTTAGTGATTTTTCCTGATAGTGGAAGGGTATATATCATCAACTATTGGCCAATTATTTTTGGTACATGCACAAGAAAACATGTAATTTAACATGAGTAAAAATGACTTAAAACAATTATTTGACCTAAATTAAAATGTCTGCATCAGGGTGATGTATTGACACATTTTTTTTTCAACTGTTAATAGTAAATAACCATCTTAGGACTCAGTCTTCTTGAACATTTAGCTGTCTTTTGAAGTAGATACTGATGAGTCTTCAGTAAAATTGTGTCTTTTGCTTTCCATGTAGTCAATAATACTACCTATTCTCATGCTGATTAATAAATGTCATAAAATTGTTATACAAGTTCATGTACTCATTATCAAGTGGCCTTAGTGGTAGAAATTCAGAACCCAACTTTTTTTTTTTTTAATTAAAAATAAGTTTTATTTTTGGCTTATTTTTCTTTCTTTTTTTTCTCATCTACAAAATTTAAAGATGAAAAATATTATCAAATAATAAAAAATAGTAGATTTAAACAATACAAGACATGGCCAAATTACTGTAGCAAGGGCATTTAGATTATCCTTTATCTGTGCCTTTGTGGCAGTACAAATTTCATGCCCATACTTCATGCACACCTAGCCAGAAATTCTCAAATTTCCTACTATCTCCAACTACTGTTGGCTTGATGAATATTGCTGCGTCTTGCAGCTGTGGAATGGGCCATAGCACTCCTGGCTAGGGGAGAACAACAAATGACCCTCCACCAAGACTTGAATGAGTAGGCTGACATATCACTTGTATATAAGTGTAATTAGCTTCTCAAGTGATCTGTCTGTATGTTCTCTTTGCACCAAGAGTGGTAATTTTTAGCTGAGTGTGGCCGTGT